AAACTTTTAGCATCCCTTTTTTTTTTTTTAAATGTGGTTTAGGATTTTCTTTAGATTTCATCAAATATGGCTTCCCTTCCAGAGCCACCTAATAAGGAATGACTTCTCATGTGGCTCTCAAGTTTCCTCTTCCATCAAGGCCCACAGGAGACACAGGAGCGCATGGTACAGATGACGGTCAGCAGAGGCCAAACCTCCTTCAATTCAGGTGGGCTGGCCTGCTGTGACACATCTGGCCCAGGTGCTGCTGCCACCTACCCAGGAACGTCCCCTGGAAAACCAGACATGCTGAAGATGTCAGGGTGTTGGTCTCTTCCCCAGCAATAAATGTCATTCAGGAAACAAATTACTTCCACATTAGTTCGCCTGTCGAACCCGGAGCCCTCCAATACTTGGGGCGTTGACCCGCTCAGAACTGGGTTTGAAAGCTGCCTGCTGGCCCCTATTCAAAGGAGGAAATCTAAGGAAATCGTTTTCTAAGAATTACTACAAGTTAGACTTGAAAAATAGCACGTTTGCTGAAAACTTACTGTGGAAACACACAATTTACCTTGATAAATAAATCCACTCAGTCACTCAATTAATGTGAATTGTTAAAACTACTTAATACACATACGTATATCAATAATTCCATTCATTCTGATGTTAGCACAAGGCAAAACAAGTGTATATTTAATGATACCTAGGCAATGAGACCTAAATCATTTTCTTTTCATCAAATTTCTAACAGAAAAAGTCACTAAAGTGTACCAGGTTTTTAGATCAAAATTAATTCATTCAATCACCCAATTAAACCACAGAGGGCCACTTAGTCTTGTATAAATAGCCTCCGAACTGAAAAAGCAACACTGCATAATAGATCTACATTTATGTCACATAAATATATATATCCTTGGCGGATGAGCAGTTTTGCCTGGTACTTCTCCACACCACGGGGAACGAGGACTGGGGATTGCTCAGCCTCCAGCACGCACACACAGCAAGTGTGTGGCTCTGCTTTACAGATCCGCGAGAGCATGCACCGATCTCCTGATAAAGGAAGGACACCTCTTAAAAGGCAAGTTACCGAAAACCACCCAATTCCAAAAAGGCTCAGGATGTGGATGTGTCTCCTTAAGTAAAATCAGCATTGTAAAATGTCATAAAAATTTTGTAACATCCATTTTTCAAAATCTAAATATTGAAAAAAAATTAATGGAATGAGTTTACTATTCACTTTGAGCCCCCATAAATCTGTTGCTTTAAGTAATACACATAAATCAAACATAAATATAAGCCTCAAATTTACAAATCTACACACAGTCCAAAGCAAAAGCGACACAAGTGAAATATCAGTTCCTTTTCCACAAATGTGGATCAAAGCACACAGATGCATGCACTGAACGGGTGTCAGTTCAATGTAGTGAGAAAAGCCTTTATATTTAGGACACTGGGCAAAAAGCTAATAAGGTTTCCTGTACTGATAGATCCAAATTTACATCTCTAAATCAGTCTTCAAAATAAGTAGCAAGATGTCATAAACCCCAACAAATTTTAAATCAAACCACTCTCTTCCTAGGAGAGGACAGGGTTAAATAAATGAAATAACCATCTTTTTGGTTTGCCTGTCATACTAGTATTTATCCCAGGGAAATAAGTAAGTTCCTATACATCAGAAGTCATTTTTTTAGGTACACCCTGCCCCAAATTATACAGTAATAAAGTCCATTAACAAGAAATAGAACTGAAAACTTAACCCCATTCTATTACACCTATCTTTTTAAAAATGTGCCTGTGTCTAATAAAATTACCTAATGAGTTTATATTAAGAGTCTTCCTCTACATTGTCCTGTATTTTTAAAAGCCGTTCTCAAACCAGAGTTAATGCTATTTTTATACCAAAGTGAAGAGGTTACAGTATTCTCAATTCTAATGAAGGAGTAGGCTGTTTAGGGTGGGTACACACCCTTGATTTATATGACACTGGGAAAATGGAACAAGTACGAAAAGCCTCCCCAAATATTCATTCCTAAATGTAGACTAAAAAACAAAACCAAAGGAAAAAGAGGGTTTACGGTTCCTCATCACAGACCCAAGGTAAGACTGTTGTTTCCTCCTAGAATATCCTTATCAATTTTGTGTTATTATAAACGTAAATTTAAGTTATAGTTGTCTCAAAGAGTAGTTGCCATTAAAAAAAAAAAAAAAAAATCTGTCAAAAGTAAGTACACAGAAAACAGGATCTCCAATGAAAACAATTTTAAGCCATGCATAATTTCATCTCAGGTAACCTAGGAAAACAGAAAACTGTAGACATTTTATTATATTTTCTTTGTTTTTAAAATGATAGGCTTTTCTATGAACCACAGTTGCCAATTCCATGTCAGCCAGCCATACCTCGGCAAATACATAAATCTAGGCCACAAAATTTTTTTACAGGATTTAAAGTATCAGATAGGGTAAGATTGCATTGGGGGGGGGAAGTGGGGAGTGATGTTATGCCAACTATAATGTATCTTATACAAATTTTAAGGTAATCAGGAACTAGCCTTTAACTTCCTGATTTGTAAGTCAGCTAATCGCTTTTCTTTTAATTATAAATAAGGCTCTTTTTATTACATTGTATTATGTTCCATAAAACTAAAGTTAAAATAGCATTAATGGAATTCAGTACAAATGTAGACATTATGAAATCTTAGTTATGTGAGTAAGACTCAATATTCCTTCTGAGACTGCTCTAGCTGAATACTTTATCTCACAAAACCCCAAAACTGTATCAAAAATGGCTTATTTCACTTTTTAAAAAGACCCTCCCCCTACAATATGTGCATATGTTTTGTTCCTAATTACAAAAACATTTGCCACCCAATATAAACCATTTCCTAAAATCAAAAACGAAACTAAATGTGTTAAAAGCCACAAGAAAATTTCATCATATAACGTGATTTAATAGTGTTTTACAACCTATACTTATGTAGTAATTTAATATTTTGGACAAATGACTGTTTCTTATTCATTTACCATAACAAATAATAAGTAACACTAGCGTTCCAAAAAGAAAAATATAAAGAAGACATATTCCACATGTTATACGGTAAGATGCCTAAAAGAAATCTGTGAATCTAGGTCATATGCCTGTCATTTTTCTTCCCCCTCAAAAATAAAAAAAGCTATTCCCAAGGGTCACACTGAGGACATAATGGATTCACTCTCATTCCAAGAAAACAAAATACTTAAAATGATTGGTACCATTAGGAAATAATACTCTAAAGTAACACGAATCTACATCTGCCTCTATCATTCTTTCATTTCTAGTTTACAAAGATGTGAATTTTAAACTGTCCCTTTAAAAGCAAGCTGACAAAGCAAATCTTTCTTAATTATGTTTCACGTTTCTCCAAAATGTTTTTACCTGTACGAATCAAAAATTGAAATCGCAAGTTTTCTATCAAGAATGGAAAATACATTATCATTAAAAGTAAAACTCCACTAAGTACAGATTTGAAAGCAGTGAACATTAATGTCCTCTGCCTGAGATTCACATTATTAGTTAAATTCAGTCTTTCAATCACTCAGACAAGTCTCTCTTCTAAGATATGATTATTATTAAAATATACCTTCCTAAATAAATGAGCTGAGTGAAAATATATATTACAATCACTGTTATTACTTTGTGACAGATTAAATTTTAAAAACTTTCATAGCATTAAAAGGTCTATGAAAGAAAAATTATTTGGAAGAAACACACCCAGCACAACTCGCATGTAATATAGTTTCCCTAATTCATTGTTTTGTAGTTCAAATAAGGCTCATATTGCCTAATCAAACAAAACAATCAAAGGAGAAAAGAAAGGTTCTTGGGGCACTTCTGTATTCTCCAAATGAGAAGTGACTATAAAATGACTTTTAGTATTTCACAAGAATGTCCATTTTTCCCTTTTAACTAATTATCTACAAAAAAATCATGTTTTTCTCACTTCATGTTTTTTCAAATATAATATCAATTCTAACTAAAACAACTCATCTACAAACATCTCAAAATAGAATAGTTAAAAACACAAATTAACTAGAAATACAGCTTTAATCTTGTTATAAAGCTAATTAAATTTTACTAAAAGATACTGTATATCAGAATCTTGAAATTTTTAAGCCTAACTTTCAATTTTACATTGAACTATGATGACATAATTCAAATGTTTCTCATCGTTTTATCTGTAAAGGGTATTTCTATAAAAGCTTAACAGATTCAAAAATTGGTAAAATTCCTGGTTTAATTATTTTTCAACTGCCACATCCTCACCCTACAATTAAAGACTGTGATACGTGCAACGTCCCTGTAAGGACTGTCAAAGATCTGAATTTTGTAAATGCCCAACGCTGGACACCAGCGTAATTTTTTTTTTATGTATTTAATCCTCTTATTAATAATATGACTCATAATAATGTAAGCCTTAAATAATATTCAACCTTACATCTGCTTGTAACAGAGCTCAGTTATTATTTGTGGCAAGAATTTTTGTGACTGTGCTGCTCAGCACTTCTATTTACATCAGCAGCGCTAAATGCCCAATGGTGAGAGGGGAGCCAATCAGATGGCAGATTAGATGTCAACTCAGAGGCAGCTGTCTGGAGACTATTACAGCCAGTTTACCTCCACAATTCAAATTCCAAACCTTGCAAAGGAGATCAAGTCAGTCCTTAGGCTCAGCCTACGAGCAAGACACAGCAAGCCTGCAGGACACTTCCTAATGACGCTGTAGGACCCGGGTGACAGCAAATTAAAGGAAACCCAAATAAATCTGACCCAAAAAGATCCATTTTCACTGGTCTGCTATTTTCCTGGACTTGCTGAATAAAATATACGCCTAATCCGTGATCAAAATAAGTTCAGTTTACCCGGAACGTGTGCCTTTCCAACAGCCTATCTGTTGAAGGTGACTCCTTCCAAGCAGCCCGTAAGCCAAATAATGGATTTCCCGGCGACTCTTAGGAGTGAATCGATATATTTTAGAATATTTTACCTCCTCGTGGCTGTGCACTTGGGCATTATTTCTGCGACCATTCAGCCTCAGAGCCCGCATCGCATACCTCCGAACGGCCGGGCAGAACTACGAAAAGCACAGCCGGTGGCCACAAAGCTCACGCATCTCCCCCTTCACCTTGGGAGCCGAGGGAACGCGCCGCGGCCGGAAAGTTCCTCCTCCTTTCCCCAGTTAAAGCTCATTGTTGGCGCTCACCGAGCCGCCGGCTCGGCATTCCCGTCCAGA